GGGGAAGTTGTTTGGCCGCGCCACCGTAATCTATGAGGCCTAGTTCATCACGGATAAGGCCGACCCCATGGCGACTGGCCAACGTAGCCAATGCAAGCGGTTCTCTCGCTCGTTTGCTCATGAGATTGATCTCTAGGTAAGCCTTCAATTGCAGCGTGCCGTTCTCGTCGAGGGTAAACTTGGAATAGTCTCGGCCCCACGGCTCGACATAGTTTCTATCTGGCTTCAATGCGTCGTAGTAGTCGATGACGGCCTGCTTCAGGAGTCCGTTGCCCAAGGTGAACGAGGTTTCCTCCTCTCCGAACGAGTGGGCACTATCATCCCACAAGTCATCCATCTGGATGTCACCGTAACCACCTTCGGCCATTACTTAATTATATTAAACTTATATATTTTGTATATATAACAATCTCATACGGTAGGAAGCTACACCCTTTCCGGAGATCAAGGGAACCTCTAGGCGTAAGAGCCGTGCGCCAGCCAGTGACCATCACCAACAATCCCAGGAAGATAGACCAGAACCAAACGCTGTTGGTTCGATTCCCCAACCTGGGCGAGAATGACCTCATCGTACCAGGCACGGTTCGACTGGCATTCAACCTCATGTTGGCCTCCGACAACGACAAACGCAAGCTCGTGCGGAAGGTAGGTCGGGCCATCGTCAAGAAAACGACTATCAAGATCAGCGGCAACGAGGTGCAGAGTATCGACGACAGTGACGTGTTTCACTCCTACAGGGACCTCTGGAAAAGCGAAGGAGAACGCGTCAACGACGTGTACCAAGGCATCAGTAAGTCGACCCGGTTGCACGTTGGGTACGGCTTCACGGAAGACCAGCTCGACAAGATCCTGGCAGGTGAAAAGGCCATCGCCGCAGCGTACGGGAACAGGTTCTGCGTGCCGCTCGACTTTGAGTTGATAGGGGCATGCACCGTTTTACCAGGTGGTGCTGGGCGATAGGCTGGAATACGAGCTCACGTTCAACGCCTACAGCAAAGTCGTCCTTACGCCAAACGGTGATGCGGCCAGTTACACCATCGACAAATCTCTCTGGAGTTTGACATGGTCACTAGCCCGGAGCTGGCCAGGCAGGTTCAAAACCAGTACACAGGGAAGGTGGCCATACTGTACGACCAGGTCCTGCGGCATAGAGCGACATACTGGACAAGAGCGACACGGTGTGGAACATCAACCTGAACGTGCCGGCGCGATCGATGAAAGGCATCTTGATCGTTCCTGTGGAGGATTACGAGCCGTTCCGAAGGGACAGTGAGAAGATTTTCAACCCCGAGATCACGAAGGTGGAAGTGACCATCGAGGGCGTGCCCAACCAGCTGTTTAGCGCTGGTATGAGGGCACACAAGCAGTGGGATGAGATAACGAAGCTACCGACCGGGCACCCACACGTCATCAAGGACCTGGATCTATCCTCCGTGCAAGTCGGGAAATACCTGACCACCAAGTACGCGCTGTGGTTGGACATGCGATCCACGGGCGACGATCGGTTGCACGGCAGCGGACGCCGCATCGACAACAGCAGCGAGGGGATAACCAGATTGCCAAGAAGGCTCAACCCACGGGCAAGTTGAAATTATATTTGTACGTGATTATGGATGCGCAGCTTAATATAGACAATGGGAGATTTGTGCAAGCCATCTATTGATCTACCCCGCGACCCACACTACGCCATATTGGGTGGGCAGACGGGCTGTGGGAAGACCGGTTTCGTGCTGGATATGCTGGAGGGGTACTACCGGGACGTGTTCGACAACATCGCTATCATGTGACCTACTCTGCATATGAACAGGACGTACACGGAAAGACCTTGGGTAATGACGGACCCGGACGTGCGCAGAGTCGACCGGGAACACGCCTACAGGACTGGCTGAAGGTTTACCATAAGAAATTCAAGGGGGAGTCGACGCTGTTCATCCTGGACGACTGCAGCGCTAACAAGGAGATAACGAAGAAGAGAGACATGCTATCGTACATCGGCTATTTTATCATTAGAGTTAAGAATCGCTTGTTACATTATAGGAATGAGTGCACCGACCTGCTCGAACAACTGTTGGTGCCGGAGCGAGAGGGGGATGATGACAAGCGGGAGAAGCTGGTAGCGCTGGCGGTCGGCAGCAAAGCCAAACAATACTTTGGGGACTATGCTCCAGACAAGATTCAGAAACTACCCGCCAATGAGGTCGATAAGCTGTACGCGAGATACGAAACCCGGCTCGGGGCTAAAAACTATAGGGTCGACCATGACGCAGATCTACACCGGTTTGGCGTCGTACCTCCTCCCCATTCCCCCGGAATGCCGGCTTTGCCTGTGGGAGGACCTCGAGAAGGACCTCTTCATCGAACACGCTTTGAGCGCCATCAGCTGCATGCTGTACCACAAATACGGCATGTTCTTAGCCCCGGTGACGGCGGCGATCATCACGGCAAAGCATTGTCAATTTAAAGAGGGGAACAATGATAGTAATAGTATACAAGATGGATGCTGCCCAGCAGGAAGCGACTCTGACCCCAACACAGGAGCAGGGGGAGGAAACCCCGACACAGGAGGCCCCGACACAAGTCACTTAGCAGAAGTACCCAAAGAGAGTCGACGCCGGTAGAACAGGGGGTCTAGTCAAGCCGCCATAAGAGTAACTATACTCTGTGGGGTACAGCTGCTGCGCTCTCTCATTATTCATGCTATATCGTACATCCCCAAAGCCACCCTCACCCCCGCAACCCCAATTAGAGCTCAACCCCCATATTATGTTATAATTAAATATATATCTTATATACATAATGTCTGAGGGGAAAACGTTCGTTAACGAAGCATATCACGCCACCGTGGTCGCCGGCCTAGCCATAGCATACGCTCGGTTGACCAAGATGGTCCTCAAACAACCGACTATCAAGCTCGACTTCGACCTGCAGGATATGGGCATGCTCATCATGAACCTGGGTATGGCGATGGCCACCAAGGACATCCTCGTGAAGCAAGGGATTATACCGGGGAATATTTTGAAGTAAGTATAGGTAAATATAGGATGGCTACGATCGCTATGATGGTCGGGGGGGGGCCTTAGTCAACGCCCTGGCATTATCCGGGAATAGTTACCTGTTCTCGAAGCTACGGGGGGCGAATGCGGCTGAGGAAGAAGCGGAACGGAATCGACACAACGTAGCCGTGGAGCAACTGCAAGCCGCGCAAGCCGAGTATGCGAAGAAACATATGCAGAGACTCGATTACATTAACGAACGACTCGAGCGTGAGAACCATGCCGTTCGAACGTTCAATGATGTCGACGGCCCCGCGAAAGAATACTACCTGCTGACCGGTAAACAGCTCGAACCACTCGATGAGCCCACACTCTCTCAGTACTACGCACCCTCCCCGGGGCAAAATGGACAGAGAACTGGTCTTCGTCGTGATAGGACTAGCAACTGATCGCAAAGCAATTAAACCCGGTATCTATATGAGTATACGATGAGACCTGCCAAGCCCGGCAAGCCTTCATTACGAAGACCAAAGAGATCATAGGCGATTCACATTACACTGTTTCGTCGAGGTCAGCATGATGTAGGTTGGCCAGGAAAGTGTTGGCTCGCGGTCATAGTGACCAGGAAGTTGGTTGGGGGATTCAAAAGTGGTATATACACTGGGGGAAGGGATCGGGGCCTGATAAAGGCTTTATCTATGAAATAAAGCTTTACAGAGGCCTTTGGCAAAAGTGATCTCGAAACCCCAGTGTATATACTACTAGTGGCTTTAATAGCCCTATGTGGTTTTATCAAACACTTTCTTGATAATCATGTTTTGGAAATTTGTAAAGTGATGATTTTACTGTAATTTAGCAATGATATAATGTTTGACTCAGTTATATGCACTCAGTAAGTAAACTCCAAAACAGCATGTCAAGTTTCTATTTTTCCGAAGAGTATATATCCTGTATATGTGTTAGTAAGCAGTCACCTGGCGAAGGGGCAAGGAAAAGCCCAGAAAAGTTGTGTATACAATAAAGAAGAAGGGGACATCCATAATATTTTGTCTTATACATAATCTGGTTACATTATTACCAAACACAAAACCGAAATTCATTTGGAGAAACCGTTTCAAAGCGCTTGTTACTGTCTGTCACAGGACCCGTGAAGATCCGGGGTAGAATAGGTCTTCAGCAACCCATGCTTGCCACAAGAGGCGACTATGCTTGACGTAAGAGGCGACTATAACGGGATGGGTGGTCAGGCTCGCTGACTTGGTTGACACATGTCATCGGTTCCCAATTGCGCAGATCGATGCTCATGCACTTGATCACTGGATTGTCTGGTCCAGGCTCGATTATTTACAGACCGCCGCCATATAGCTGGAATATTGCTGAGTGCGGCGTAAAACTAAACTCACTCACTCACTGTCTGTCACAGCCGTGATGTATGGCAAGCCGGTCAATTCAATTCAAGATATCTCTATTTTCATTTAAGATATCTTTAACAATGTCAGATATCAGTATCTTTTAATAAATGTGAAAACGGCTTGCCATAAATAAATGTGAAAGCGGCTTGCCATAGTGAGGTTAAATTGCCCCCGGCTCTCTTTGAGCGATGTGAAAGACGGGACTCAGCTTACTCTCAGCGACTGCCCATTCGCAAGCTGGTTCCCGGCTCCCTTTGCGCGGTTAACTTGCGCCAAAGCTGGTACGATTGAGAAACGGGGTCCAGTCGGTTGGCGTCACACGCGGGGGGTGGGGGGGTGGGGGTTTGGTTTGTTGTTTTGCACCTAACCTGGTTCCCGGCTCCCTTTACGCGCGCCGGTGATATGCGAGACGGTGCCCAGCTTACTTTTGTACCCTGAGGGTTAAAGGGAGGCAATTGAGTTTTGATTAAATGTTGCACATGCGCAAAGCACTGTTATTAAAGAGCCTGGCGGCGAATATTTTCCACATGAATATAAGATTTTAATGGGTAAGATCATTTTCACATTTTTTTTCGTGGACGAGCTAAACAAAATCATACTTTGTGAACAACGATAGTGCTTTAGTTGCATTTAGGTGAGATAATAATTCTGGAATATCAATGAAACATTAAGAGTGCTCTACCGGGTCACCCTATGGATAACATAGAATTGTGAAACCCCGTTTCGGTTGTCGTTTCCGGAAATGATTCATGCTAGCGACGGAGACTTTAGTCGCCGAGCCATCTTTCCTCAACAGCTGCATCGTGTGTAGGCATAACCAAGTAAAGGAAGCAACGGAAACAACTCTCAGTTTTCAAGGAACAAGGCACCATCGAGCTGGGTTGTTTTCAGCGGTTTGTGTACTTCTCAGTCTCGGCCATCGATGACCAGTTAAGAGTCGTGACCAAACGATCGCGAATTACTCGATGTGGTTAACTAGTATATACGAATTATAAAGACTTTTTGGAGGCTGGATTAACATAAAACTATTGGATAAGCATGTCAGCAGTAGAAAGTAAGTCCCTTTGTTACACGTTGTACACATATTATGCACGGGAAAATCATCTTGTAGTGTGTCTCGATGAAAGATATCTTTGTCCTCCGAACTGGTTTTTGCATGTTTTTAAATGACGTCCTGAATAATAGTTCTTTTTGTTAATTTAATGGCGTCTTGCAAGGGCTGTGTACTGGCAAATGAATTGTATTGCAATATTTTTGTGAATCATGTACCCTATTGCACTTTTGAGAAGTGTTTGTGAGTGACACTGTTTAGATCTAATTTTCTATATTCAAAGCCTCTGAAAATGAATTTTATGGTTCTGATAACAGCAGTCTCAAAATAAGGCTGAGTTACTTATTCTATTTTCTAGTATATAAATTTTTATAGCATGTGAAGTCAATCAGGGGTGGAAATAACTTTAAAATTGCTAGTGTACTCCGGTACAGTGGCACATGTAAAATCACTTGCCCTGATAATTTTTCCACTATACCAGCTGTTTTCTTGTTGATTTTTTACATAATTATTAACATTGGAAAGTCAGCTGGACACCGGCACAGTGTGATATACAAATTTGCTTGCCCGACAGAAAAAAACACTGGACTCGGGCGTCTTTCCACCCCTGTCAATGAATTACGATGGGAACATCAGATAGGAATAAAAGTCTGTGCTGATTTTAACTTAAACAATGTAGGTAATCACAAGACTGCATATAATCTTTACCAAGTATACAGTTATCAGAACAAAATATTGTAATACATATCTGTAGAGTGAGTATGGTTTTACGCCGCTTTTAGCAATATTCCAGCAATATCATGGTGGGGTCACCAGAAAAAATGGGCTTCCCCATATCTGTTGAACTGTATATACCAATTATACTGTTAATACTGTGCTTTCCTACTTTTGCCCACTCTAGCTTCTGTGAAAACATTTTGAATGAAATGTGTTTAAAACAAAATAAGTCTATTGGGTTCAAAACTAATCCTTAGATTTGTGGGCTTGTGATACCAGAACCCCCATTGGCTCCACCAAGCGAAAAAATGTGATCTTAAGTCATTTTGAGGGGTGGGGGTGGGGTTAATCAAACCCCTGAACCCCCTCTGGATCCGCCACTGATATAACATGTATGGAAACCATCTGACCTAGACTTACAACTTAATGGAAGCAATCAGACAAAATGAATTTAAAGCATGCATCCTTACCTAGTCCAGAAAATGGGATACTAGTAGTTCACTGAAAGTGGATCATGATCCAAGTTCAAAAGCAAACTCATTTTCACTCTTTCCACATATTTTTGGTTCATACAACAGTTTTTATTTATCTATTTTTCTTTTTACAAACATTCAATATGAAAAGAAGTACCAGTGAGCTAGCGGGAACCTTTTGAATGTCTGTAGTGAGACCGTGATTCAACTTTGATTTGTTTGTGGCCTAGTATTGAAAAAATGAAAATAAAATCTTCTTGTTTGCATCATATTAAGACATTATCAGAAGCTGATATATTGGCAGTCACTACAAGGGATGCAGGTTGTTGTATCTAGATTAAATATTAAGCTTTTTTTCTAAAAGTTGAAAGAAAGGAAAATATAATTTTCTAGAATATTACAAATATTGGAGTTTGTCTTTGTGTAGACCATGGTTATTCATTTTGTTGGTGCAAGAGTGCAGTGGTGGCACATTTTACTTGTTTCATCATTAAGACATAATTGCAGTCAAAATAGAATGTAAAACAAGTCTTTCTTCACCTAGTTACTTAAGATTTCTATTTTATTCTTCAGCTTAAACACAACTGGTGAGGTAATGTTGACCATCATTGTTGACATTATTAAGATAATTGCATTTTCTTGGGTGTTGAATCACTGGCTGCTTGTCAGCCAGAATGTCCATAACATACTTTTAAGTATTTGTGTCTGCAAGAATGTTAAGAATGCCCCTACTAAAATGCTATGGTCAGGAAAATGTCCGGATAACATTCTGTCATGGTGAACACATGATTATCTCTAAGTTTTATGCTTATACAAGTTTAGAACAAAAGATATGTTTCAAACTATGGTACAATGGCAGTTTTGATGACTGAAAATGTTGACTGAACACTTAACACTGCTTTTACTGTGTGTGAACTGTGTTAAATGCAGTATTATCAATGAGGTTATTTCCAGCCTGCTCTTGCTGGCATTTATATCAGGGAAGGCAAACAAGGAATCTGTACTGGTATAGCTGCAGCTCCAACAGATGTTCCCGTCGATGGACCTTGCATCCCTTACTGCAGGCATATTTTACACGTGGCCAGTGAATTATCTCTTTTGGTTCCCATTCTAGAGTTATAAAGTGTGAATGCAATCAGTGTTACTCAGAGGGGTGAAGGCATAATGCAGAGACTTTCATTTGATTTCATAGAAATCATAGAAATCATAGAATGTTTCAGCACTAATTGGCTTCTTGTCATTAACATTTGCCATTGTTTCTTCTCTTTTCATATGATTCCTGATGGATATATTTGTGGACCGATCTACTGTGATAATAGCCTCGGTAAGTTTTTCGCATGATTCCTGCTTGTAATTGCTTTGGAAAAGATTTAGTTACAGCCTTTTTGCATATATTACAGTCATGACGAGTCTAATCAGTCTCTGTTGCAGGGTAGCAATTAGGTTTGATCATAATATATTTTGAACACTCACATAGCAAGCATTTAACCAACTTGTTGACCAGTCAATCAATAAGACCTCAGCAACAGTTGTAAAATTTTGAAACATATCCTCACTGTTGGTTACACAGCCATGAATCTGGTAACACAATGGCAGATTTTGCTGCTAAGGCAAATCTGTGACAACACTTCTGATCCCATACTCTGATTACAAAGCTGTGATTAGATCTTATATCCGTGATCTAATGCAAAAGAATTTGGAGACTCAAGTAGGTATCATGCGACGATGTTGTGTTGGCCACAGCAGATATTCACATGAATTTTTATTGAAAGGCGATGATCCCCCTTTTTGCATCCCTTGTGATGAAACAATCCATCATAAGGGATAATTATTTCAATCTTTCCTGTTTATGATCCCCACTCATCCTGCAACCACTGCATGGGGATATAGCTGGTCTGTACACTGTCTACTATCATTAAGTATCAATCTACTGAACTGTGACCCATTTGCATGCTCTCAGTCCGAATACAGAGATCACAAGGAACAACCGGACCAAATGAACCTGTATTCTATCAAGATATCCAAACGCACCACAAAGAAGGCTCATTTGTCCAAAACAGCTTCAACAATCACTGTAGACGACACCTTCCTGGATGCTCCTTGCGACTCTTTCCTCAGTGGAAATCTTCATCACTTCTTGGGACCTAGCAAAGGCATTGTCTGATCCTCAGATGCCCGTCTATTCAGTCTAAAGTGGTGGTTGTGTGGATTCAGCAAACACTCCTGTTTTGTTGATCCTTCACCATGGTTTGTCAGTCCTGTCTCGAGGATAGTCAATCTCTCCATCAGCTTCATCAATTGTTCCTTTGGGTTCATTGATCCCACCAAGATCTATGATCTTGCAAGTTGGTCTGTCGTTTCCTCCAGTAAGATTTGTCAATCCCTCTTTGGTAATGCCAGCGTGGGTTCCACAACCATCTCTGATCCCAAAGTACCTACCCTTAATTTCAACAGGACTTACGATGACAGCATCTGTTCTTCCTCAGGCGATTATGTCTTCAGTATCTTCCTACTTCCCACCGACAGTTCCTCTCTCGTTGATTCCACAGCCATTGATTCCTCTGTTGTGTCCTATTGGATCCTCAATGATGGTTAATCACTGCCTTCAGCGATTCCCAGGCATGACCCTGCTACTACTCATAGATCTACCCTACACTGCTCTCTATCATTTCTTCCTCAACTGGTCCTACCCATTTCTTGGGATCATTGATCCCTGGATTCTCAAGCTATGTGGCCCTTGGACTTTTAGTTCCTCGTTCAGACTGTCAGTCGTGCTCAACAGCCCGATTTTCCATCTTCTTGTCAAAGATTATCTATTCCTTCATTGAGTTCCTCCTCAGTGACACGCCGAGGCAGGATTGATGCTATCATTCTCAGAGGACAATTTCTAACAGGAAGGGTGCACAACAGTAGCAGGAACAGTGCAAACTTAGTACACACTGTTATTCACTGACAAAATGCTGACTCACTTTAAAGGTGTATGATTTCTTTCAAATGGAAACAGAAAGAGGAAAACTTCTTGTATGTGTCATTGTGTCCTAACAAGCTGAAAAATGTTGTCCATTGGACACAAGCAGTCTGGGCAAGCGAGTGGACAACACATCAAAATCATACAGGGTTGATAATTTGGATCTGCAATTAATAAAATCTTTTGCAATTGTTTAACTGCATTAAAAAATGAGTGAAACTGAAACCTTGAAGCTGAGTGAGATTTAATTGATACATGATACAGGCTGTGGCAACTTTTGAATACATTTAGTATGTGCGGCTGCTTGTACTAGCCCAGACTTAAGCTGGTGTTATAGTGCTAGCCTACTGAGATACCATGCCGCAGTGAAGCATGAATACCCCACTCAGGCACATTATACTGACTCCGAGCTGACCAGTCCTTGTTGTACCCATTAATGCCGAGCGCCAGGCAGGGACCAACAAGTACCATAATTTAACGTCGTTTGGTATGACGCGGTCGGGGATCGAACCCGTGACCTTCCACTCTCCGAGTGGACGCTTTAACCACTACACCATGGAGGCGGTCTCAAAACATTAGAAAAATAGCTCCAATCAAAGCCTACTCTGAGTCCAAGTACTCACCGCCAGCGAAGGTTTTCCGTCTTGAAATGTCGAATGCCTCACTGGTTGACACATAGCTTAGTAGATCTAGATCCTTAACAAGGTTCTTTTATGTAACAAGTAGATTATTTACTATTTGTTGTTTGTGTACACAACCAAGATTAGACTATTACTGCTCACGACCTTAAAATTCAGACACCCCGCTTCCAAGCTGCGCTAACCTGTTCACTGCGCATGGGCCATGAGCGCAGCACAGCTGTTGAAACCACTTTTCACCCAAGCTGGGGTGAATTTAGTAAATCGTTTGAACTCTGATTTCGCAGGGGAGGTTCATCATGTTATTTATACTGTTCTTAACCGTCTCTACTTAAACTCAAGCATTATATAAGATTTTTTATTAAGCAGCAGGTGCAACCTGTTTTTGTTTGGTGCAACAAGGTGATTGCCTTATGTTGAACTGAGTAAAAATAGGTTTCATTTCCTTACAGGAGAATACTAGACAATTGCAATAATTTGCTGGGTGAAAGATAAAGTCATCAGAAACATGTACCCCACGTGTTTTTTCAAAAATATGCTTTATTATGTTTCAGTCTGTTATCTTAGCTTTGGCCATTATGCATATTCCGCTGGAACTCACGTGACCTTTCCATTCATGACGTCATATGTGACTAGAATCCGCCATATTACCAGTGAAAAAGCGCTACAGTAATACAAATCGTGTTGTTTCTGTCGTTTTTGTAAATGGTACAATGGTGTATTTTGTTGCCTGGGGATGCACAGAATTATTGAACAACGGAAAGAGCTACAATTTCTTCCGTTGTCCAAGTAAAGAGACACATTTAGGCAGGAGAAATGTTCCGACATATTCTGAGTTGGGCGCATATGAAAGAGACATGCACACATGGGGTATGAAAATCCAAAAGCTAGGCTGAAGAAGGAAGAGGTACCCACAAGATTCATTTATGTTCCATCATTCCTTGTTACAACTTACTGTCAGTGGTATTTTTAACATAAATTAAATCAAGTCCGATTTAATGCCCCAATTTATTTAAAATAATTAAATATACTATATAGGCCATAAATGCATAGTTTTTGTCATCTTTGATATTATGTTCTTCATATAAAGGTATATACATAGTTATGAGTTTACTTGTGGAACATTTATCAGAAATATTACTTCCTAATAACTTTATATGAAGAACATAATATCAAAGTTGACAAAAACTATGCATTTACGGCATATATTTAATGAGTAACAGATTTTATGTAAGCTTGAAAATGTTTTGTTATAACATTCTTTTCGGTTTGGAGCCCTAAATGCTGCAGTCTACCCGAAACATTGCCAAATACAACGGCTAATCATGAACTACGTGTTGCTTTTATTGTTATCCATTTTGTCCAATTTTGCACATCGGCATCAGACTCGCTAGTTGTCAGTAGTCGGTGCCGTGAAAGTTGTTCTGTATTCTCATTGGCTAACATGATGTCATTCTAAGGCTATGACCAAGTACCATAACTATTTCCATAACCAAAAGCTAGGGAAACATATATTGTCCTGACTAGTATTTTATAATTCACCAGTTTTCGGGGAATAACTTATCTGCGTCGCGTATATTATCTCTGCTGGACAATGCTGGGACCTTGGATGGAGACTTGATACGTTATTAATGAGAACTAGGATCCTAATTATTTTTTTTCAACAAAATATTTCCAGTGTAATTTTTATAGCATATAATTCCTATTTTCCCCTGTCTGAAGCATAATTATCATTTTTTTAAAATCCCAGACACACTACAGTCACCCATTTGACACAAAAGGAACTGCAATCACATTTCAAAAAAATATTTTCTTAGGAACTGGTAATTTATCTATAGGGGTGGGCTTGCTGGTTGGAACTGTATCACATTTTGCTGACAAATGGTATTCTTGTTACATGATACCGAAGTTGAAGGGGGGATATAGAAACGAGTTCCGTCTAGACCGAGATATGAATCTTATTTTTTGCGGTTTCCATTGAAACCTGACTTAGGCTGTGGCTATGAGGATGTCATCTTGTCCGGAGCAGATCTCCTTAACTAAGCATGCTAGCTTCATCAAACTTGGTACACATGTCAACCACGATGCCTAGATGTGCCTTTTGGGGTTTAGACCCAGATATGAATTTTTTTTTTTGTGGTTTCCGTGGAAACATGACCTTGGCTGTGACTATAAGGATGTCATCTTGTTGCATTTCCATGGCAGCAAGTTAGGCTTCAACTGAATTTGGTGGTAGTGCTGCTTTCTGGAGCAGATCTTAAAAACCTTTCAATACTCTACTTCCACTTTGCTACATACACTCCAAAACATTTGATATAATCATAACTAGGAGACATATTCATAAAGAGTATTTTGCCGTGCGGGGGATATTGATGACTTCTTGTTTGTAAATTGTTATGACATGCTGTTTACTTCCCCAGTTTAATTCCTCTAAAGGTATATTTTATCTTATGTCTATTCCCTAGCCCGACCCCAACCACCGTCTGCATCACCTGTCCTGGTTTTGCTTTTGAGACAACCCCTCCTACCTGTTTGTTTTTATGGTCATAGTGAGACTCAATAGTAGCTACATCCTTAATAATTTCAGTATTAAAGTTATTATTTTTTACGTCAGCTATCGTTTATAATGAAGCTAAGTCTAATTTCAAAAGGGGCATATAAAAAGTGTCCTTTATAATGCAATATCATTGCACACTAATTTGCATTAAGCCATGGTGT